AAATGAAAAAAAAAGGAATCGAAGATATGAACTGCGAATGGCCCCGAAGGAAACAATCCGTTCTGAGATGACAAAGGGCTGGCATCCATGTCTTTCAATGTCGCCTTAGCCGCTGGGATCTTCCCCGCCGAACTCGAGTCACTTTCCTCCGCCTGCAAGAGCGCCTCGGCCCCAGATCCCGAGATAGAGGGGGCGTCCTCCCGGGGCCGGTCGGGGCGCCGCACCTGGCTTGACCCGTCTAGACATGACCGCTCTCTCTTTTGTCTTCGGAGGGGGGCGCAGGAAAAAGAGCGCGGGCTCCGGATCCGGCGGCGGCGAGCTATTGGCGCGGGTTAAAAGTCAGAGTTGGAGGGTGACGTCGGTGAGGGAGCCAGAAGAAAACAAGGCGGAAATCGGAGGTCGCAACTGCTGACCCGCCGAGTCTTTGGCCGCAGCGCAGCGAGCTGACCCGAGCTTCCAAAGAGGTTTTTTTTTTCCTCTCTTCAGTCATTTCTGTTTTGCAGTTATCGACAGCGCGACGCCGGACGTTGGCCAATATTGAGCCTATTTTGCTCAGTGTTGTGTCAAATGGAGAAAATGTCTCCATTTTATATGAACCGCTTTGCTTGCTCGAGTTTCCTCACAAAGGAAATGATGTGACGAATGCCATGACAAGCTAACGGAAGCGTGGTAACACCATCGGATTTTCTTTTTTTGTGGGTCCCAGGTACCTCTGGCTCGCTCCGAGACTCACCTCAGCGAGCTCTTGGATGGGGTTTGCAATTCCATGAGCGACTATGCTCTCCACGTGGACCCCGCCACCCAGCGCAAGCAATACCTGAGGTTTGCACCACGGAGCGGCGGCGGCTCCATCGGGGACTTCCCCGACCTGAAGAACTTTCAGTTCACTGGACCCCAAGCTCCCGACGCCTTGAAATTCGCAGTGAGTGCAAAAGCCTCTTTTCAAGCTTTTTTTTTTTGGGGGGGGGGGATTTATGTCCCACCAAGTTAAGGTTTGGAAACGCGGTTGACGGAGTAGTATCGTTTATGATTAGGATTTCGTCGAAAAGCATTTCTTGTTTTCCAATGATGCATTTGGACAATTCAATTCAACGAAAAAAAAAAGGCTCTCCCTCAAATAACGTAGGCGGATTCATTTGAAATCAATCAATCAAATCTGTTCAGTAACTGTGCCGATCACCCGGCGCCTCCGCGTCGACCCGATCACTTTCCGCTCCGAGATGTGCAGCGATGGAGACGGAAGGTCTCTTCTTCAAGGCAATATCGCGATCGCCGTAGCATCGCCTCCATCCTCTGTCATGGGAATCGCGGTTGTCGTACTAATTGTGTCGAAAAACCGAGCAAAACATGACAATGCTGCCTGCGCGCGCGACGAAACTGCTCTCTCGCTACACCTCCGGGCCAAGTTTCCTCTCCTCTCTTTTCCTCTCATGTTTTTATTTTTTCTCGCCCAGTGTGAAATCATCGTGGAGGATCTCGAGGATGACATCATCACTCTTTTCAGCCAGAGCAGCGAGGATCCGCAGAGGCAGTTGTGCAACGTTGTCTCAGGTAGCGCGACTCCTTCGGGACCCTCGGGACGCCCCGTCGCCGTTGACTTCAAGCGCTTATGTGCTTTTCACGCCACACGCGCATCGATGGACGGGCAAATAGTCGGCCGCGTCCATCCGAACGGAAGCGGGAGGGTCAAGTCATTCCTCGCCATGCGCGGCAATCGACTTGAGCATTTTTCAGGAATTGTTTGAAAGCGCTTGAAGTCCCGTCTATCGTTTCCCTCTCGAGAGGTGCTCCGTTGCTCACGTGAACTCAGATCCAGTTCTCCGATGGGGACGCGCGAGGTGAAGGCCCCCCACAAAATCTCCGTGTTGCTTATTACACGTGACAATTTGAGATTTCGGTCGAGATTTTAGCAAGTTGACACACGTGATTTGCTTTTGCGGGCCACATAAAATGCTGAGGCGGGCCGGATTTGGCCCCTGGGCCTTGAGTTTGACACCCACAGTCTAAAGGCTACTTTGCGGAGCAAAGTATTTCGCGGCGGTGACATCATTGATAAAAGGTGGAGAACCGCTGCTTTAATTCCTAATTCAAGAAATGGAATAAGATCCAATGGGTGTCTCGTCATCTTGCTGGCAAACGTTGATTTTTGTTGTTCTGCCTTTTGTTTCAGACTACTGTAACGACACCAGTGACAGAAATGATGAGTTGTAGTTTTCCCAGAGACGGATATATTTTAGGTGACCAACATTGTTTTCAATGAAATGAGACCTTTTTTGGTCAGGAACTTCTGAAAAGAAAGAAATAAATATTTTGTCACTATTGGTCTGAGGCTTCGAATTGATGCTCTCGCTCGCACGCAGGCAATGACGGCGCGCCATCGATATGTCTTTTGGGGTTTTTTAAAATGTTCATTCTTCATTTCATCGGCGCTTTGCCGATGGCACTGGCAGAGAACGGGAACGTGGAGGGCCGGGAGAAGCTTTTTTTCAAAGGCTACACGTGAGCCCCCGTTGTTAAGACGCCGCCAAAGTGCCTTCCGTGCCTCCGCGTCGGCTCTCAGCAAAGGTAAGCGGACGTTTCCTTTTCAACAAATTCTTGATTGTTCTGATTCTGTTTCATTCATTTTCGGGGCCTCGCATGCACGCGCGCGCGGTAACGGGTCGATCGCCGGAGATCTTGGGTCCAAAAGGGTCAGCGCCCATGGCATGACTAACTCACACACCAGTGAAGGCGGCATTCGTGCTGAAAGATGCATCCGGCGTTTGGCGAAGGATACGCTGCCGTCCAAACAACATCTTTTTCACGGACGCTCTGCTTATTTCAGCCAGACGAACCTTCCGCTTGTATTACCGCGGCGTGGCTTCGGAGTCAACGACTGTGCTGACTCGACTGGCCCGCCTGCAGTCCAGACCTGTCTCCCACCCAGACTGCAATCGGGAAACAAGTGAAAACGCACACTCTGATGAAGGCATGAAACCCTTCCAAAAGCCGACCGGCTGGCTTGATGGTACAAGAGTGCGGGCCCTGGATTTGCAAATCTTCTCAAACCTTCTCTTCTTCATATTGAACACAACGTGCCAACTCCGTTGCAATTGGCTTGGTAGTACCGTCTAACAGAAAGTAGCCTACCACTTTCATTTATAACGCCGCCTTGTTGCATTATAGTTGGAGGAGAAGCGTCTTGAGCAGTGGCTCGAAAAGAAGCAAACGGCGACATCTTGTCTCCCGCAGCCCCATGCGTGCTCCGATGCCCTCGCTGGTTGTTGCATCAAGGAAACTCCGCACCATTGATTGCTCGTGGCTTTTCGTGGCATTGGTTTCTAAATTTAGACCGGTTTTGCTTGGAGTGAGCACTCTTGGCCAATGTGGGGGTGGGGTGGGTGGGGAGGGGGGAACCTCCTTGTGAGACAAAGTGTGATTTTGTGTCCTTATGGTGCAAAGTTTGATCACTGGGCTGTGGCATTAGCTTGTATTCTAACAAGATTAAAATATATTTGTCCTGGAGCTTAGCATAGTTAAGTCGGCCCCTTTTTGGGGCGGCGGCGGCGGGCTTTGATCAGTGTCGCGCAGCAAGGCCCGGGCTCGGCCCGGCCATCCGAAGCCCGGCTGTGAAATTGCTCTGATGTCATCCCCCATTCTCCCGTCTTTTGCAGCTTTCGGGGCCGTAATTATATTTCCGCCACAAAGGCCCCCGTCCCCTTCGCTCCACGCCTCGGCTTGGACCGGGAAGCGTTTTGGAGACCTCTGGCTAAATTACTCGGTGGGGGGAGGGGAGCTTGATGGGCTCCTCTTTTGTCTGCCGGAGACGCACGGGGCGCATCGGTCCTGGTCGATGTACTTTTTCTCTTCTCCGTTGGGCTGCCGTTTAGGACAAGTGGAAGGACACGAATGGCGGGTGGGGGGGGAACTGTTCATCAATAGTTGCGGCTTGAGGAGCAGGTGAAGACAATTTCTTGGATGACCTCAGAGGTCACGGACGAGAAGGAGCAATTGCAATATTTTTCCGTTGAGATTCGGATCCTCTTGTGGCCGATGCGTCTTCGTGGCCGAGCGTGAGATCAAAGTTGAGAAGAAACAAAAGAAGTTCATCTTAGGGGTGGAAAAGACAGCTGCGTGCAGCCGATCAAGCGCCGGTGTCCAACCTCGGGCCCGGCGCCCAGATCTGGCCGGCCGCATCATGGTAAGGGTCCCGCGGGAGCCAATCAAACACGTCGACCTCCATGCGATGCTTACTGCTCAAATCTGTCGCCAAAATCTGTCGCAGATGCTCCCATGGAATAAACAAGAGTGGGATTGCAAGACACGCCGAGGCCAGACTTCTTTCTCTGGTTTCCCAGTCCGATCGGGGAAAGGCGACTCCGACCCACAAAAAATGGCTTTGACACCCCTGCCGTTCAGGCCTTCCCATATGCCCGCTGAGAGTGCACCTTTGACTTTGCAACGTCCCTTTTGGCTTGTTGGGCCAAAGCAAAAGCGGCTTACTTTTTTGATCCAAAGAGCAACTTCTTTGTTTTTGCCTTTCGCCAGCCGGCTTCAATCGGCAATGATGTCGAATGCGTTTATGGACGAGGTGCGTGGGACGCGCACGGTCACCTTTGGAGAGCCCGCGGTGGAAAGCGAGCGCACCCGATTGAGCCGCAGCGAGCGTTTGCACTGCGGCTGAGGAGACGCCCGTCCTTCCGTCCTTTTCTCACCCGTCTTGGCAGCGGCTCGGGCACCCGCTGCTATTGGCGTGGACGCCAGCGGTACTTTGACCTTGGTCCGGGTACTCCCGCCCCTCCGGCCCTTCGACTGACAAAGCCCAACCGCACGCCGAGATCCGTCGGCCTCCTCCCCCTTTGCCTTTGCCAGTCCCAAGTCAAGAGCTCGGCCCATTGAGTCGGCGAGCCTCGGGCGTTACTTCCACGCACGAGAAAACACACGTCAAGTCCTCTCGCAGCCGTTCACCCTGGCCAGGGCAAAGCTGTCGAGGAGCCAGCGGTGACTCTTGCTCTTTCGTGATGAGCAAACTTTATATCTATCCTTCCCTTTTTTTTTCGGAAAGGGGGAGGGGGGGTATTTTTCATTTTGTCTGCTTGTTTGTGTGTGTGTGTGTGTGTGTGTGTGTGTGAGTGAGACAGAAAGAGACAGGCTACTGCTACAAAGGTACTTGTAGGACTAAAAAAATGGTAAAGTGAGTAAATCCTTTGGGCTGAATGCCACCAACCAATTTTTCATCCCAAAGTCATCCTTCATTCTTGACTCCAAATCAAGCGGATGACTCATTCCATGCTTGGTGCCAGCCTGAAAAACAACCCAAAAAAAAAACACAACACTTTTTTTTTCAAAGTTATTGTCGACAGTCTGACGGGAAAAAAAACGTTTTTTTTTTGTTTTTTTTTTTGTCAGACCGTCGACAAAAACTTTGATTTCAGTTTATGCCGCTAATGTTTGTGCAAAACAATGGCTTTGGGCCATCTTTTTCTCCCCCCTCCTCATTCAGTCGGACCCGAATGTTTCTATTAGGATATACTTGAGTGTCGCAGTCCTTTCGGCGCCTCATCTTTTGGCGATACGGAGCTTACGTTTCGGTTCTGGATCCAAATTTGATGTCGGAGTGACCCATATTTGCCCTCGATTTCTTTGTCACGGAACCACCGTCGGCCTCTCCGGAAACGCGAACACCGTGCGCACCGTGCGCGCGCTGCCTGCAAGACACTTTTGGCTCAACCTGAATGCTTCCTTTTTTTTTTCCAAGTTTGGCCTTTGAGGGGGTCTGCGTGCAGTTTCAATGTCCGTCTCTGCGGTGATTGTCATGCAAATTCATTTCCAGATGACAGCCTCTTCAACTCCATTTACTCCTCAAAATAAACTTTTATTTTTCTCCCCTCCTGTCCGTTGTGTGTTGTTTCGAAATAAAATCCCAACAAGGACTTTTCACTGTTTTTATTGACCTTTGCACCATCATTTTAAAAAACCGCTTACATATCAGGACCGTGTCAAGGAGAACTTCATCTGGTCGAGGAGCAAATGACCAATTTCATTTTTTTTCTTCATTGGATTTTTTTTTTTTGTCCAAGTCCCCTTTACCGCATAGAAAACGCGACCCCTCCCTCTTCACAACACTGCAACATTTTCCGGCTCATGGTTCCATAAGGCAAACGGCTTGACTTGCCCAACAACTTTCTCGAGCGGCTGAGAAAGAGAGAGCGAGAGAGGAAAAAAAAAAACAAGACACATTCACAGCATAGTGAGACCACCACTTGGTTCGGATCTCCATTTAGGCAACCCGGAAAAAAGGCCTTTGAGATTTTGCCTTAAAAAAAAAGCACAATTATTGCAGGAACGAAAAAATGAATAAATTATGTAAACGCCACTCCACGTGGCTGTTTTTTTCATAAATACGAATAGCGTTCATTTGTCGGTTTCTCAAAGGACAAACGACGGGTCTGTAGACGTGCGCGTGGCAAAATAGGTCCAGAAATGTCGGCGCCGCGTCGACACGCTCCGTTCGAAGGGCAGCAGCCCAGCCGGCGAGACTTTCCGAAGGGCCTTCGGGGCAACGTTGGGGCGCAATTTCGAGGGCCGCTCTCCTTCCAAACGACTTCAGAGGTTGCGCCCGTCCACGTCGAGCTAAAGAAGGCTCGTTCAAAAAAGGCCTTCTCCGAACGAATTTCGGCGCGGGCACCCGGAAAAGGCTGCTCGGAGTCGGCTGCGTTCGGCTCGGCAAGCCGCAGAGCTGCGCGACCAGCAAACAAAAGACACTCCGTGGCTGAGGAGTCGAAGAAAAACCGACAAGAAGAATTCACAATTCACAGCTTGGCGAACAGAGGTACCACAATGCAGCAAAAACTCTTTGGACTTCAGCATATTGTTTTTTTTTTTTTTT